GCCAGGAGGTTCAATCCTCATGAGGTACAACCTCTGGTAGCATCCCAAAGAGGATGGTAGCTTAGGAGGAGGTGTGTTCCTCCCCCTGTACCATAGGGCCAAGAGGGCCATCAGATGTGCCAGTACAGAGGCACGGTTTTCACAACCCAAACACCAAGGAGGTGGTTCGCACAAGTTCGCTCAACTCGGAAAAAAATTTGAACCTGGGTTCCAAACCCAGATTTGAACCTGGGTTCGCCGGAAAAAAGTTGTTCAAACCTGGGTTCAAGAACCTGGGTTGGATTTTTTTTTCGAGTTGAGCGAACAAATGCGATCCACCGTCTTGGTGTTTGGGTTGTGAAAACCGTGCCTCTGTACTGGCACTAATGATGGCCCTCTTGGCCCTAAAGTACAGGGGAGGAAAAACCTCCTCCTAGGCTACCATCCTCTTTGGGATGCTACCAGAGGCTGTACCTCATGAGAGGAATGAAACCTCCTGGCAAAAGCTCCTCAGGTTTTTGATGCAGGGGGTGCAAACCGTGAGAGGAGGGCCAGGGGTGCTCTCTGGCGGCGAGGATGAACCTCTGCTTTCATCCTCTTCGGGATGCTACCAGAGGCTGGTACCTCACGAGAGGTTAGGAACCTCCTGACAAAAGGTCCCTCAAGGCCTTTGGTGCACTTGGTGCAGGCTGTCAGAGGGAGGCGGTCAGGGTTCCTCTCCGGTAGCGAGGATGGTACCTCTTTACTGTCCTCGCTGGGAGGATGCAACCTCCTAGGCTGCATCAGCTGGTGGTTTCCGCAGTGGGACCAACTCCCAGCGAGGCTCCTCCATGATGTTGCCGAGGGGTCGTGCTAGCCCGTAGTCTGGCGACGGCAACTCATACAGGACTTTCATGTCGATGAGAGCCTCGACAAACACCATGTCCATGCTCTTTAACTCCCACAGCAACAGGCTTGCCAGCATGGGGATGCTGGCATGGTGGAGGCTGACCCACCTCTTGACTTTGCTGCTAAGGGTGGGGGAGTCTTGGTCAAACCACCGGAAGAAAGAGACGAGCTGGGTTTGGCTGGGGAAACCATAGTGTTCCCTCGTGCTCCAGTTGGCTACGTCCAGGGACGTTAACCGGTGGTACTTGGCCATTCCCAAGTACTCCCAGTTATGCTCCCCTTGATCTCGGGGATGGAGGTACCCCTCCGGAAGGCGTAGTCCGCACCAGAAGCACAACATAATGCACATCTGGAGGAACGAACCGTCCGGTGTTGGGCGGATGGGGGCCGCCATCCGCTCAACGGTGTAGGCCCTCAGGTCCTGGGCTGGGAGCCCAGGCACCTCGACCTGGAGGGTGAACCTCCGGCAGACCTGGGGCCAGGAGTCGAGGGACAGCGCAAATAGCTCCCACTCGAAGTGGTGGGCACCTTCAGGACCCAGCGGGGTTCCCGGTCAAGGGTATACACCACCCTTGACCCTCCCCGAGCAAGCATGGTCAGGTACCTGATCTTGCCCTGGACCTCATACGAGGCCTGGTCGGGCATCTGGTTGGCTAGGCCATTGCCTCGACCGCGGCTGCTTGCTCGAAAAATAAGGTTACCTCCCTCGTTATAGGGCCTGGTGCCCGTGTTAAGGTCTGCCGGGGGAGCACGTTTGGCTGGCGGTGGCATGGGTGGGACCCTTTGGGCTGCCTCGGAGACAGCCTGCTGCCTCTGAGCCCTGGCTTTCTTACCCGGCCTGTTTCTCTAAGGTGTAGTCATCTACGAACCTCTGCGCCGGGGTCCTGCGTTCGAGCAGGAACTCTCCCTTGCCTTGGGCTTTGCCGCTGCCTGCTCGGAGGAGGAACCTCCCTCTTTCTATTCTCCCAAACCTTTGCCTCCGGAGGCTGCCCCTCCCCTGCCGGTGTTGTGGGTGGCAGTTCCTGGTTGTTTTCCTCCTTTGTCTCGGCAGGGGCTGCATTGGAGGAGGCACTGGCTTGGGAGGGTAGCCCCTCCTGGGTGTCATCGCCGGTGGGGTGGTGTAGAGCCTTTGGCTCCGGGGGGGCCCCACCCTCCGGCTTTTCTTCTTCACTCTTCACTGGGGCCTCCTGGGCCTCCTGGCCCTGGGAGGGCAGGTCCTCCTGCTTCATTTCCGCCATTGCGCACGGGGGCGTTGGGCCCTTCTACTGGCTTGGCTGCCTGCGCTGGCTGAAAAAGGCTGCGGATGGGATTTGTCGTTTCTGGCTTGAATTGCGACTTACATCGGGAGTCCTTTTTAAAACAACAAGCTGCAGCAAGTTTTTGCGAAACCGTTCGGGTTTTTAGGGACAGCTGGCCACCACAACCCTCGCACACCCAAAGCTGCCTAGTTCCTAAAAGTTTCAAAACATGCGTGACATGAACCCCTTCAATCGCAACCCTCCCTTGATGCGCACATTGGTGTGCTGCCAGCGCCTCTAAGGTCTTGCGGTTTTTGGTGTGCAAAAGTTTTAGTTGGCACTGGGCACACCGGAGGTTGAGACCGTCCCATTCCCAGGCATGTATGGATTTGGTCCGGACCAGTTCCTGGAACCATTCCTGCTGGGTAGTGGTGTGGCCACGACCTATGTTGGATCCCACCCGCTTTTTACAGGGCCTTGCATTGGCCTCGGGGTGTTGCTTGTCCTGCAGGAAGACCTTGTAGACTGGGTGCTGGTTTTCTCCTACAGCGGTGAGGATCTTTTCAGCCCTGCTCGCCAGGAACTCTTGGGCTTTCTTGCTGCAATGGTCCTGATATTGGCTGGCTGCCCGGGCCTCGGGGCGGGCCAGCTCAGCCGCTTTTTCCCCACACAGTGTATCTGCCAGGTCATTGACCTGCTGCCTCCACGAGTTTTCCGCACCGACCTTCCGGAGGAAATCCTCCTTTGAAACATGGGACGGGACCCATTTCATTTTTAGGCGGTCGACATCCGTGGCTTGCAGCTCCCACCAGATGTCACCGTGGGTTTTCCCCGGTTTTGGGCTGCGGACTCGTTTCGGGACACCAAGGCAGTCTAGTGTCGTGTCAACGGGGCCTTCAGTATATCGGGCCAGTTGCAAAACTGCATACATCTCACCTCGAAAAACCGTCTGAGGGCCTGGGACTTGGCCGACGATTGCCCCGACCTGGACATAGTCTTGGCCCTGCTTTTTGCAGGCCACCACTGCGTAGGCTACCTGCCGGAGTCTCGGGTCCGCCGTGAGGCCCCCGCTAGCATCTGTGCCGTAGACAAGCTCCGGGTCACTGAGGGCCTCTTGGCTGGCCCATATGCCCAAGAAGGTGGGCTTGTCTTCCTGGGGAGGTGGTACCTGCCAGTCGGGTTTAGGCGGGAGGCCCCTGGTCCACAGTGATCGCGGGCCTTGGGCCCTGCCTTCCGCTTCCTGGTGGCACCGGGGGCACACCTTGACGGCAGAGTTTTGAACCTGGGTTGGACCTGGGTTCAACCTGGGTTCGGAACCCAGGTTCGAACCCAAACTATTGAACGACCACACCTCAAGGTTCAAGCAGAAAAACCTAAAACCCTTAAACCTGTAAACCTTACAAGGTTAATTTGCGTAAAAGACCGAAATGCAGCAAGCCCTCAGCCCTACAAGACTCAAGCCCTGCACGCTTCTCACTTTGCATGTTCGCACACTCCGGTCTTATCCACCACTGAAATAAAACGCCAAACACGCAAGACTCTCAGCACATTTCCAAGCAAGGAAGAACAAGTACAAACACCTCCACGGCGGAAAACTGGTCGAACCTCATGCGTTAACCGCCAAGAACAAACAAGTGTCTTCAAAAACAAAGACCTTGGAATGCAGATGCATATGGGTTACACTGAAGCCTTCGAGACCTCTGTACACCTGCAACAAGATGGCACGAGAAGAAAAAATTTTTCACTTTGGGCTGGGCAATTTGCATGTCGCATCCTTTGAGAACGGGCAAAGTCTTGCCCTTCTCCTTCTCAAGTTTTCATTGTTCTTTTCCCCCCCCTCCCGGACCCTGACCTTCCTCGAATTTGAACTCGAGGCTCCCCTTGCTCAAGCCTCCTCAGCAAAAACTGGTGAAGGCCCCATTCTGCTTGAAAACAATTCGGGCCGAGTTGGGCAAAGTCTTTAAGTTTTCACAATGATTCCCAATCTATTCCAAAATATGTTCATGAAGAATCTAGATCACATAAACTCTGTACGAGGACGCTCCCCTCTTTTTTCCACGGTCAGGGGTCAATCAAAAGCGAGGCGTTCGAAGAGTGAAGAGTTCTTTCGAAGGTTTTCGGTTGGAGCACCCAGCATGTATGCGTTGAGATGCGCACTGGCTGTTTAGGTGCATGTTACCGATTTGCCCCAACACGCATAACCCCCCCTCTCCAAATCGGTAAGGAAAAACTCCGAGGGTGGGAGGGCGGGTGAAAAACTTTAGCATAGCTCAGCACTAGCATTGTCCATATCTGCGTACATCATGGACTGCCATGCAATGTGTGCCAGTGCGAAACGAGCCATGCTGAAAGAACGGCGCGGCAGATTAATGTCAGTCCCTCGGTGGGGCATGCCAGGGGTTTCCGGGGATTTACAAAAATTCCGGGAATTTTCAGGATTCCCCGGGTTCCCACATCAGTCTACAAATCACCGGTAAACACACTCTTGTGCTTGTGTCTTCAAACACATACAAGAGAAACGGAAGTCGAAGTTCAAAATACAGTTTGTAAAGATTTTGGAAATCATTGCTCAGCTCAACCGGCTGCTATGAAAACAAAAAGACAACTTCGTCGCTTCGCGAAAACGCCGTCTTTAAGTTTTCACAATGATTCCCAATCTATTCCAAAATATGTTCATGAAGAATCTAGATCACATAAACTCTGTACGAGGACGCTCCCCTCTTTTTTCCACGGTCAGGGGTCAATCAAAAGCGAGGCGTTCGAAGAGTGAAGAGTTCTTTCGAAGGTTTTCGGTTGGAGCACCCAGCATGTATGCGTTGAGATGCGCACTGGCTGTTTAGGTGCATGTTACCGATTTGCCCCAACACGCATAACCCCCTTTAAAAGTGACCGTAACTATTTGAGGAGTTCCCAGGGTATCTGTACAGTAGCCATGCACTTCGCGCACAGACTCTCGATACTAAGCGCAGTCTCACGACCTTTGATCAGGGCTGCTGTCTCCGTAACCAAACCACGACTCGGAGGATCTGCAATGTTACTCTGAGAAGGCACACGCTCCAGCCAAGTGACTCCCTGATCTTCATTCTCGAGCTCGAAGAAGATCGAAGCCAGTAGCAGCATCGTTCGGGATCTGCTTCCCCCTTTAATCAGAACTTCTCTCGCTCCTTCGTTGTCCACGAAATAGATGGCCCTCCTTCCCGTGAGCAGGCGAGAGAAGGATTGTCGGGCTGCAACCACAGCGAACGCCTCGGCCTGCCCGATCACCTGTTCAGGGCTATCCAGCCGCCAGAACCTAACCAGCGAATCCGGAATCCTCCCTCCAGCGACCAACCTTGTGTCGGTGAAGCGATCAATTACCACCACGCCATAAGATGCGATCCCATGTTCATAGGCAGCGTCAGTAAAGATCACCACGGGACTCACGGTGCAGGCAAAGATTCTAGGCGTACAGGCGTCTATGAGATCCACCCCAAAACTGCAGAGCGAGCGCAAGTCAGAAACGGTCCGCATCCCAGGATCGCGAAGAAAACTTCCCAAAGCCCTTTGTAGCAACTTCAGACCTCTTCCCGAAGCGAATCCGACAGCGAAGTTGACTTGCCCTTGCAGCGATTGGATGGAGTGAATGTCCCATTTGCCACTCAAGCTCATCCTGAGAAGTGCGTCTTTCATCCTGTCCAACCTGCTAGGCTTGTTGTGCAAGGAGACCACGCCATCAGCGATGCCGCCAGCATTCAGCCTAATCCCCAGAAGGTCGAAGGTCTCTTCGAAGGGCAGCGACTTCTCAGGCTCAGTTGAGTACTTCCACCCAAGCTTCCGAAGCATATGCTCAAATGACTCTGAAGAAAGTTTTGCCGAAGTGTCTACCTCCAGAAGAGGAAAGTCGTCGTAGAAGCATCCAGAAACCAGACCGAGAAGATGCCAGCTCAGGTGCAAAATCGATCTCGACAGCCTGTTAAAAGCGAATACCGACGAAGTAGCCCCGAAGGGGAGGCTCTGCGCCACGAAGTAGCGGTGTTGTCCTGTCGAAGGTTCCGTGACCATGACAACGCCAAACTTCAGTGAATCACACGACAGTGGAACTTGTCGGTAAGCTTTTTCAAGGTCCAGCGTGCGTCCCAGCCATCTAGGTGGCCGAGACTTCCATTGTGGATGAATTTCGCCCCTGAGCACCTCACCACAGCTGAGCTCCACTTCCAAAGGCGATGAAGGATCAGAAACTCTAGCTATGTACGTGCTGATGGCTGTCATCCAGTTGACATCAAAGAGGGCAAGCTTCTCCAAGCAGTGGTAGGCCTCGTTGACGCCCCCCTCCTTGTAGTTGTCGATGGGTCTGGCCTTCGGCCTTTCCGGGGTCCCTTGCTCTATGAGGAAACGCCGCGAGCACACGAACTCGTCGACTCCCAGGTGCTCCCTGACCTCGTTCTCAGAGGCAAAGGGGCCTTTCAAGAAACCGTTGTCTCTGTCTTTGATCGTACAGTCCCACAGCTTCTGCCTAGCTGCGGCATCGTCCTTGTGCGGGTCACGCCCTTTGAGTCGCTCCCTTCTCCAGCTGGCAGATTCCAAAAGAAGGTTTCCGTCAGAAGTTGCCGGGACCTCTTTGACGTCGAACAGCGGCGACTTGTCGGGTTTGCCCACAAGATCCACCCCCTTCATCAGCTCGAAAACGCCCTTGTCGGCAAACAACGTTTCCTCCAAAAGATGCGCCCAAAGCAACAAATTCTTGTCCTTGACCACCTCGCGAACATGCTCGGGCAGCACGGAATGCAACCGCGCCTCTTCATAACGAAGTTCTTTTTCCAGCTGGTTCAGTTTCTGAAACATCTGAACCCTTTCCGAAGCGAAAGCCGTAGGTCCCTCCGTCAGTCTCCGAAAGATGTTCCTCTTCACTGCATCAGGAACACAGTGCTGGACGTCGAAGGGGTGGTCAAGCTCCAGTGCACATTGAACGAATTCCTGAGGCGTTCTATACACCCCAAACCTCCCGCTAGAACCCTCTAAATCGGAGGTGAACTCTTTAAAGGGCCTATCCAAAGGAGGGGTTGCGCTAAACTCGAGGAACTCCGGGAGGAGTTTGCAGGTGCCCTTCTGCTGTGGCCACAAGGGTCGAGGGCCTGCTGGGGGGTCAAGTCGGCCTGGCAGGCCCGCTGCAGCGGAAAGGAGGGACGCCATCTCGTAGCACAGTCCCGCGGGATACTCGGCTTCCTGGGCAGTGGAGAAACTCCAGGACCCGTTGCAACGGTAGACAAGGTAGGGCAGATGTTCATGCATGCCGTCGCAGTCTGCTTCCAGGCTTTGAAGTAAAGCATGACTACAACGAAAGCGGGTGCGCTTGGGTCGCCTGCCGCCCTTCATGCAGTTGCTGAAACACACGTCTTGCATGGACGACCAGCGCTTGAGCAGGAGGGGGCACTTGGAGTTGCGAACGAAGTAGGCGAGGACCGCCCAAATCCAGGAGTTCTCCGGATTCTCTATGCTCAGATGGCAGGAGCTGGGCAGTTGCTGCAACAAGAAGACCACGAAGCGACAGAGTTCATTGGACTTGGCGACGCGGATCTGATCCTTCTCTGAAAGCCCAGGCAGTCCGAGAACGTGCTCGGCGTCTCTGAGGGGGCGAGGCTCAGGAGCCCCTTGAAGTCGAGCTTTCTTGCTGATAGGTCGCTCACGAGCGCGACTGCCCGTGCCGCACGGGAGAGCAACGTGGACCGCGAAAGGAGCTTCCTCAAGAAGCCGGGCCAGGAGCTGCTGCTGACAGGCCGGTTCGGTGAGGTCCAAGACAAGCACGGGATGCTCGGGCTTGTGTGGGTTCCAGGGGGCATCAACGGGCAAGACTCGAAAGCCTGCGGCCTGACAAAACCTGGAGAGGCGGGCGCAACCTGCAAAAAGCTCAACAAAGAGGGGTCCTGAAGGATCAGGGTTGGTCTGGGAGGTAGGCGAGGCAAGGGGTAAGGTCTTAGGGACACTCTGAGTGGCAGGCGGAAGGGGGAAATCAAGGGCTTCCAAGAAGGACCGGGTTTCGGGGGGAATGTCGGCGGTCTCTTTGGCAGTGTAGCACACAAGCACAGCGCGGTCACCTTTCCACGGAAGGGTGGCGTGTCGCCTGTTGGGAGCCGGCAAAAAACATAGCCCTTGCGACACTTCAAGCACTCGGCCCCACAAGGTTTGACCCTGATGAACAAAGGGGGTGCTGCCGGCGGGGCCCTCACACCAGACGCCTCCTTCAGAGAAGGCCGTCAAGGGGTACAAAAGGTTTTGGCTTGCAGGGTCATTCGCAGTGTCCTGGTGAAGGTCGGTTTTGAGGTTTGTGAAGACTGCAATCGTGGTGCACGTGAAGTCAGGGCAAAGTCCTCTGACGAAGCGGGAGAAAACTCGAGTGGACAAGGGGTGCTGTTTGCTCGTGTCGCGAACAAGCAAGCCCGGGAGCTTGGAGCAAGCGAAAGCACCCAAACTAACAGAACGGCTACCGGAAATGTCAACTCCCCGGGCGGGGACTTCCGACGGCAAAGCAAGGCTCAAACGCAAAAGGTCATCTGGAGATATGCAAGATCGGCTGAGGAGCGAACTGGCGAGCTGTTCAGCAGCGTAGCGGTTGCCACCGGTCTCATCATCCCGAAAGACGGGATTCACTACGCCGGCGGCCGCAGCGGCCGATCACTGAAACTCCGGACACTCGTAAGCCGGATGAGGTCCCAGGCACTTCCAGCACACATGGCGCCCTCGTCGGCACCTCTTTCCCGCCTTGGCGAAGGTGCAACCCCGTAAGTTGAAGGAGAAACACAAGGGCTTTCCCTCGGCGTCCTGAGAGTGGCAGCCGGAGGGCACGGTCCAGGTCTTTTTCTTGTCCCCTTCGCCAGGAGTCTTGGGCGCCTGCGGATTGGTCGGAGGCTTGAGAGCAAGATCACGGTCCTTGCGCACAGGCTTGTTAGGCGGCTTGTTGGGTTGTTTGGGCTTAAGGGGAAGATCTGGATCCGGGCTTAAGCAACGGGATGAGGTAGCACTGCACCTGCGTGTGATCCTTCCACTTGGCGAGCGAAGCCTCAAAAGGGTAGGAGCCATCGGGTCGAATGGACAAAGCTCCTCTGGTGTCCTCAGCGATGCGGGTCCACAGCATTTTGTCGGCCTCACGGAGCTGTTGGAGGGAGACACGTTGCATCCCTGGTGGCTGAGAGCGCATGTGCGTCTGCAAGAGCTGATCATGCCAGCGCTCCAAATGCTCATAGCGGCAAATCCGTCCCAACTCGAAGGCAAGGCTGCGGCGTTGCAGCGCCAACTTGATGGCGTATTCCCCTAACGTGCTGCAGCTGGGGTCACTGGAACGGCGGAGCAACTTCAAGTTCCCAGCAGAATCGAACCCCACAGAATGGTCGACCTTCTCAGTAGTGATCTCAAGAGCCCGACTGGTCAGGCGCTCCCATGGCAGCCAGAGCAGGGATTGATCGGCGACCATTTGTGCAACCAAGTCTTGGAGCTTGTGCGAGGGCTCAACGTCAGCGCTCCAATGGATGCCCACCAGGCGTTTCTGCAACTCACTGATGCGTTGGGTGCGCTCAGCGAGAGGCATGCGAACTGGCTCGGAGGTGTCAGTCCGCTCGACTTTCCCACGCATCTCAGCAAGGGCTTGTGTGGTGCTCTCAAACCAAAGTCTTCGAGCAATGCATAGCACTTGGTCGCTGGGCGCCTGCCCCAAGGCACGCTTCAGGGTAGCAACCAAAGGGCCTTCATCGCTGTTCCCGGCCGACAAAGGGCCGATGAACGCTAAGGAACCGAAGGTGTCCACATGCACGGCCGCCAGCTTAGCTAAAGCCTCCTCTGGAAAATTGAGCTCCAAGGCTCGTGCCTTGAAGGCTGCACGACTATCAAGTGAGGACATGTTGCCTCGGGACAAAAGCTGCGCGGAACACAAGGCAGAGCTGCATGTGGCATGAAAGTTGCATAATGTCACTGAAGCTCAGAATTTGCAGAACGCTACCCTGAAGCTCAAAGTTGCAGAAAGCTACAGAGCTCGAGAATGTTGACCAAATACTGCACCCACGCCGGCCAAGGACGGACCTGCATCGCCAGGCGGCTTGGGGTCAGTCCCGAATACCGCCTCGTAGACGACGAGCAGACCGGATACTGTCGTAGTACAGCTTAGCGCGGCTAGGGGAGTACCCCGGTTACCGCGGGCAGCAAAGACTTGATTTGCATGATGTCTAAGGACATGTAAATAGCAGTCCAGGAACTACAAGCGGGGTGCAGCTTGGCTAAGCGCCTCAACGCGGGCTTGGATGAAATCCGAGTACCCGACAGGCGAGCAAAAGGAAGTGAAAGGGCGCAAACGGTTTTAGCTCTCCGCGGGACGGTATCAGCTGCTCTTGTATGTTTGGCTACACCGCTTGCATACGAGCAGGTCAGAGGCAGGAACATTCTGATCCAACTCGCCAAAATTGCGGGTTATGGGTCGGCCACACAAGAACTTGGCCCCTTCGGAAGCCTGTATATGCACCGTCCTGCTGTAAATATGCATCTTGCTGAAAACACTCGAAACCTGCGCCGCCGTGAGAGCAGCATCAAGAGGCACCCCCACAGCTCTGGCCTCGAGATCGTCGACGTCCAGGTCAGAGCCCTCAGCTTCGGAATCCGACACAAAAGGGTCGTGTTCCACCACCTTCTCCTGAAGCTGAGGTCCTTCAGATGCTTGGATCATGACTGCCAATCGCATGACTCGACTGTCATCGGGCTTGAACAGGCCAGCTCGAATCTTCCGCAGAATGTCAGAAAAGATTTTCATGAGACGACAAAGCTCGTCCCGACTGTAGGTGAGTGGCGAGCGGGAAGCGGGATCGAGATGATGTCCGGCAATTCGCCGGTCTTCTAAAGATATGCCACCGAATTTCGCAAGCCAGCTAAGCATGGTAGCCTTTGAGCTGTGGGAAGACACGCGACTAGCAGGGGACAAATCAATCTGGCTGGCTACCAGGAATTCCCGAAGGTACAAGCTTAGTTCACCAGTCGACATGCGACGTGTGAGCCAGCATTGGGCCGCCTCGCTGAAGGCGGGCAGGGATGGCTTCAGCGAGAGACCGGCATCCTGCCGAGCTTGCATCCAGGCCGGCCCCCAGGCGCTTGTGTACAAGAAACACCCCAAACTGAGGAGCGGCAGCAGAAGGTTCTTTCGGTCGCCTTGGGCAGTCTTGTAAGACACAGAAGCGGCTTCCAGGAGATACACATCGTCGGCACTGCTGCATTCTAGCGAGTCCAGGTACATGGTGTCGGAAAAACGAGCACAGCTGCCAACACAAAACAAAATATGCCCGGCTATGACGCACCAATGAGGATACGGGGACTTCACCACAATGCGCTCTAGTGCACGAATCATGTCAACCGTCAAGGGAGCAGCCTGCACGAGGGGCTTCTTCGTCGCTGCAAGGGCGGCAGCTGCACCTCGAACACGAATGGACACGGGAGAACCTGCGGTAGGCGCAAAACCAAGCAGGGCAGACATGAAGTTCCAGCTCTCAAGGAAAGATTTCCCGGAGGTCGGGGCTCCGTTTGCTTGCAAATGCTTCATATAAGAGTAAAGAGTGGCTTCATCGGCTCGCAACGGGGAACCCAGACCGGAAGCTAAGCAAAACTCCGCAAAACGCCAGTACGAGGCTGTCCGCTTGGCCAGCGTGGCAGTACTCTTGTTCGCGAATGCATCAGTAAACGATTTCTGCAGCTCACTGTCGTCGGACAACAGGGCGGCATCGGCTACTAGATTACGCCCAAAGGATGAGGCAGCAGGCTCCAAAAGTGTCAAAACTTTGATCTTGCGCAAGGCTTCAAAGCGCACTGCATCATCCGACTTGAACAAGGCGGCACACTGAGCTCGCTGCCGTGCAAATTTCTGGGTAGCGTTTGGCAAAATCTCCTGAGAGGCCTGCTGGACTCCACTTCGAACCGCGCTGCTATCAGGCTCCCATGGGGGGTCGGAAAAGTAAACCAGGGGTTCAACAGCAGGCGGGACTCCGAAGACAAAACCGAAAACTCCACGATCCCAGGGCATCACGATGCGCTTGGCACGAAAGTCCAAAAATCGGCAGTTGGAGATGACGTCTTCCATGCGACGCTTCTGGCCCCCGGCTGGAGGTGCTGGCTGCATCTCTGAAGCTACGGGTCCTCCACTGGCACAGCAGAGGGCAAGGGTGCCCCGTAATGCAGCCACAAGTAGCGGACCTTTCCGGCGAGATCTCGGAGGAGGGACACAACGCGACTGAGAAGGTTGGTGTCAGCCCACTCTTGCGGCGGAAGCCCCAGCCCCTGCAAGGCGCTCACGCGATCACGACGGAGTGCCTCAAGGCTGGTATGTATCAAACTAATCTGATCCCGAAGGTCCGAAACCGCTATCTGCAAGGCTGAAAAACTTTAGCATAGCTCAGCACTAGCATTGTCCATATCTGCGTACATCATGGACTGCCATGCAATGTGTGCCAGTGCGAAACGAGCCATGCTGAAAGAACGGCGCGGCAGATTAATGTCAGTCCCTCGGTGGGGCATGCCAGGGGTTTCCGGGGATTTACAAAAATTCCGGGAATTTTCAGGATTCCCCGGGTTCCCACATCAGTCTACAAATCACCGGTAAACACACTCTTGTGCTTGTGTCTTCAAACACATACAAGAGAAACGGAAGTCGAAGTTCAAAATACAGTTTGTAAAGATTTTGGAAATCATTGCTCAGCTCAACCGGCTGCTATGAAAACAAAAAGACAACTTCGTCGCTTCGCGAAAACGCCGTCAAAGAAGTGTCATGGCTGCCATCAAGAGTAAATGGCTTGGGCCTCTTGAACTCTAAATCCTCCACGAAGGGGTGGCTTGGTTGCAGCTTCAGAGGGGAGCTTTAGGAGAGGCTTTCAGGGAGCTTAAAAAGAAGGACTTAAAATGGGGTCTTGAACGAAGGTCAAAGGGGGCTTAAAGGGGGCTTAACGAGGCCTTTAAGGGGGAGCTTAAGAGAGGTTTAAGGCTGAAGGGGGGCTTAGGGCGGGGGCTTAAGGGGTATTGAGGGGGAGCTTAAAGGAGGGGCTGAAGGGGAGCTTAAATTATTTTTTAAAGCGGGCGCCTCTTTCTACATCAGAGCACAGTAGGCCGTTCTTGTGGGTCTCTCAACTAGCGCAGAAAGAAGCAACACAACCAAGAGAGAAGAAACCACCCAACCAACCAAACCAGCAACACAACGACCAACCGACAAACCAAGAAGAGGGCGGCGAAACTACTAAGAAGACTCCACGCGCTCAGTACCCAAGCTCGTCGATGTAGTCCCTGAGCAGAGCCATAGCAGCACAAGTCGTGTGGGGGAATCGCAAAATGCGATTGTGTGCCAGAGAAGGGAAGAAGCAGCTCTCACAATGAAACCGGCGCTTGCCCACTTGCACATGCCCCACAGCGCAGCGCTAACCGCCATGCATGTAGGCCTGGGTGCGGTCAGAGCCGGCGAGTGCAACCTACGCATCAGAGGCTTTTCCGCCGAATCATACATGGGGGCAGTCCTCGCGATAGCCTGGCACGAACGCCAGCGATTCCCGCTGCACAGGTGACTTCTTCCCGATCGAAGCACGATTGGGAGGCATTGCTATGGATCGGGCGATACTGCGGTATATCCTGCAGTCAGAGCTTCGGCATGCTGTCAGCCTCGTTCATCATCAGGGGGACCAATTGTGCATGTTCCGACCTGAGGTTGAAGCACGAATAAATGCTATCCGGGAGGGAACGCGTCTTTACTTCTTCGCGGCGGTTGATGGGCTTGGCACTGGAGGACATTCTTACGGGCACTTCCTGGACTGTGACGAGTTGTTCCGGCTTACCCCGGGCGACTACAGATATAGTGAATTGACCAAGAGGATTGGCGGGCTTGCCGACCCATATGTGGAGAAAGCTGTCAGATCTTCGTTGATGGGCGTAGCCTGCGCCTCGATCCAATTGAAGGAACGATCCAAGGCGTTTGTACATTCCATGTTGGGGCGGCAGGTAGCCAGGGCAGACATGGAGCATTTCCTCCAGGTGCAGCCACCATCCAAGCCAAGCGTGATGGAGCTGAGAAAGGCATGCTCCGATGCCCTTATTGGGGAATTGAAGCCCCACATGACTGACCTCCCGCAGCCTTTCCACGATCTCGGACCCACCATGAAGCTAGTGCTAGATATGTGGTTGCCGGGTCTGGTGTTGGAGCGGCTCATTGATATGCTAGGCTACCAATTCCTGGCCATGGCTTCAGAGGCTGAAGTGGAGGAAGAACCCTCTGAGCAGTTCCACTATCCTCAGAAGGCCGCCGTCAAAAGAGCAACCAGGCCAGTACACGTCAAACCTGGCTCCAACACTTGGCCCATAACCTTACTGCACCGGATTTATCCCAAGACCATGCTCATTTCGATCACACCAGACCTCACCGGCGTCCCTGAGAAGCACAGAATGTGGTTCGCGGGCAAAGTGCCGTCCAGAGGAAGCGCTGTGCTGGTCACCTTGCGGTCCGAGAGTGGCGAAACGGCATACCCGGAAGTTTTCACGGAACTCACCCCACCCAAAAGGCTTGAAACTAATGTTGGAGAGAACAAGGCGATGCAGCCTGTGCACCTCAAGGTCGCTCTGCTTTTGAATGATGAGCAGCATACAAGCTTGGTGAACCAACTGACACTGCCCAGGGTCAGTCAACTTGTTGTACTCCCTAGCGGGGCATCCACCCCTCTGTGGGACGCACTTCTGCATACGCCTAAGGAGAGGGTACATGTGGCCCTCGGGGTGCCTGTGGCCGATTGCCCTGTGGACTCGATCCGTCAGCCACATTGGCTACCTGGCTTCCTTCTCGATCTGGTCCTCATACTGATCGTCGGACTAGTGATTAAGGGATATTGGCACAGG